GCAGTGATTCTTCTTAAAAGTTCTAAACCCATGACAGTAGCTTAATAGCTTATTAATTATAGTTCCAGGTAGTGTTATATTAAGCCTTCATTGCTCTTATCTTTAAAAACCATAATCATAATTGATGTCATTATCAAAATGTAATTTCAATTAAATTTTAATATTTTAATTACTATTCACTATTATTAGTATTCACATTTAAATATATAAAAAAAATGTAGGTAGAATTATTTTTTAAATTAAAAGGTAATGGTTCTTGTAAAGTGTTCTGTTTGTTAGAATTTTAAGATTGTGTTTTCTTTTTCATGGGAAGTTAAAGGTGTTTACTGGGGTATAATAGCATGGAATGATAATTTCATAAAATCAGTGTTGTTATCTGTTGATTTGATGGTCCATACAGGAAAATTTAATAAAGAAATTTTGGGGCGAAAAAAAAAGGTCAAGGTAACAAATGCAAACATTAAACTGGCAGAGATTCAGATGAACAATTTTCCTAGTCTGATAGATTTAAAATAAATTAAAACAATGTGACTAAAGTTCATTATTCATGAGTTTTTCTCTTAATTATTTCAGTAGTAAGTCATAGAGACACTGATTGAACATGGAGTCAAATACTTGGACCTTTTTTATTTTGGAGGACATGTTTTATCTGAACTTTAGCTTCTTAATTAGCTTTGAAATTAACTAATATATTATTGTTTATGCTTATTTATTTATTGAATAATTTATACAAAAGTAGTTTGAAATCAAATAATAATTGGCAGACCCTCTAGGGGTCATGGACCCTCTATTAAAGACTTTTGTCCTGTATGTCAAATTGTTTGTTATTTGAACACTGTATCTATCCATTTTATTAGTATTCAACTCGTGTAGCAAACATCTGTATCTATTTATAGAGGAACAACATTTTCTCACGCTCTCTACATCAGCCTCTTATGCTAGCTAATGCAAAACTGCCACATGCAAAGGCATGCTGGGATATCTGGGGTGTTCCACTGGACTTCTTCAAAAGTTACAGTATGTTGTATGCACACACTATACTATATTTGGCCAATTAATCCAGCACAGCACACTTAAGAAAAAAAAAAGGAAGAAATATATTTAAATTAATTTTAATTGTAGAATGCCAGTTGGTTTTTATGTTGTTTAAATGCAATATTTGCCTAAATGGAGACTCTCTTGAGAAACACAAGAAACAATCATTAAAGCAGTTTTTGAATATCCTTTATTAAAAATTAGATTTTTTAATTATTCATTTAGATTATGAAAGTAAACAACAGTAACTTCATACATATCATTCAGTACAGAGAGGAATGATTCCATTTTACAGAATGTGTATATGTGTGTGTTTGTGTGAAAACATAATTGTGTCCTGAGAATGGTGTGTGTATGTGTGCGTAAACATACATGCTTATTCATGTGGAATCATTTAATGAATGGGTGGGAGGAGTGAAGCAAGAAGCGCGTATCACAATGAATAGTAAATGCAAATGCAGAGAATGTAGGTTTGGGAGTGTTTTTTTGTTTGGGAGGTTTGATTGTGGCAGTAGATTGTCGAAAAAAAACTAGAGTAGACTGTGTGTAAACATTAAATATGTTCCACAAAACCAACTTTGTGAGTAAACCAACTATTCTCCCCAGCTTTGTATGATATAAGTCACTATATAAGCTACATAAATGGGTGAGCGGAAAGTTGAGGCATCAGTGTGCTACATGCTAACATACCCCTGAGAAGAAAAACACACTTTAACAAACAATTAAAGAGGAAAAGACTGAACAAGATATGAGTTCTTTAGCATGTTTTCCAGCAGAAAGAACAAAAGGCTTTAGGAATGAGATGTGAAATTCCAATAATAAAGCACAAGGTGTTCAAATACTGATTCAGGACCAGTTTTACACTCAAAAAAGCTTTGAAGAGCCATTATGTATCGTGGAAACACTGAGCTCAGATCTCTGTTCCGCTGAGATCTTAATTCAGGTCAGGATTCTATTTCCTGTTTTGGCTTTTGGTCTGAACTTCTTTTTACAAATAGATCAAAGCCTGCGGAAAGGATAACATTATACCAAATTCTTCTGCTGTTTCCCTACATTTCGTTTTGGCCATCTGTTTGAGCTCCTTAACAAAGAACAACTTACAAGAGATGTATATGCAACCTTGCATACTTATTATTCTCTTTGTGTAGATTAACAATATAAGTCTTATGCACACAAACATAAGATCACTTTCTATCCCTGTATCACGTTATAAAAGCAGAGTTGGTTTTTCATGCAACACACGTACAACAAATGAAACATAACAGCAACACATATAAATAATTAATTAGGCCATAGAAAACATGAATCACCCTGTGTATGTGTGTGTTTGAATAAGGAAAAGTTTGTTAGCTGGAGGGCAGCGTGTGTTGGGCAAAAGCATTGCTGGCAGTGAGGGCTTCAGACCAGGGGACGAAAGTTACATCACAGGAAAAAGAGGCAAAACCACAGTGTTTCAGTCTAGGCAAATGTCAATGACACGCTCTAGGATTCAAGAGTCCTGCAGAGAACAGAATTTAATTCAGTTAGATGTTAATCCTATTCTGTAATAACAATATCACATTAAATTAGTGTAGAGCCAGTAATACAATATGACAAAAAGGTATCTTAATAATCAATATTTTCATCTTGCTGTTCAGTACAACTATCTAAACATCCACTATGAAAACTGCATAATGTGTTTCATAGAATATATTCTGAATTCACTTTATTTTTCTTATTCCATTGGCAAATTGTGTTTTTAAGCATAAATCTAACAAAATGAATGGTTAATGCATAAAACAAGAACAGAAATAGCCAAAAGGGGAGGGAAAAATAAAATATATTCAAGATATATTTTCTGAAAACATGTTTTATTACCCTTTTATTATTTGTTTTAAAAAACGTTTTCCTTTTTTTTAATTAAAAGACAAGCCGGAGTGTGTTTGTACCTTTACAGGGGGCAAATGGAGGAATGAGAACACTGTGTCCGTCTCTTTAGACTGGAAGAAATCTTCATAATCCTGCAAAATGATAGAATGATAAATGACTGAGGAGAGTTTTTAGCAACTGTAACTGTTTGTCTTTAATATTGGATATAATATTGACATTCTATCTGCCATAAATATCAAACCAAACTAAATAAGAGAACCTGCTTATTCAGATTATATAAATTATGCTATTTAACATCCATTAACATAATCTAAAATCAAATGACTTCAAATCAAATTGTCTTGCTCTACATTAGTGTCAAACAGTTAATAGCTGTGACGTGAAGGAAGCGGATCTGCTGTTCTGATTGGCTAAGAGAGTTGTTGGAGGCGGTGTCTAAGAGTAATTAGGATTATTGTGAGATTACATCAATTGGGCACTCAGCAAAATCCAGATACTTCCATGAGTCAGTCACGAAATATACAAACCTTACCATAACTCAAGTTTAAAGCGATGAATCATTTCTAAATTAAGATTCAAACTCGTAAATGTCTTTCTGATTCTTTAGCCATTTATGGCAAGAGTGTCACAGTGGCGATAAATAGAGAGTGTGAAGGTGTGAATGTAAGTATTAGGGTGTGCTTTGCCTGCAAAATCTCTTTTTTGAAACTTTAAGATTTGTTTTTGGAAGAACAGAGGCATGAAAATGCCTTTCCCTTTTCACAACCTTATAAAGGGCATCTCATGCTTTAATGTGACTGGCTAGAGAAAACACAATAAATACCACACTAGAATGTAATTGGCTGAAAAAGAGAACAGTGCCACACAGCTTAACACCATGGATCTTTGTATACGTGTATTGATTTTTAATAAACATCCTCTCAAACCAACCCAATGTGGCAAGAGGGTCTAGCTGCAGCGTTGCACTTGCATTCTCAGACTTGCACTCTCAGACACTTGCGCTTCCGCTAGCGACGTCACTTGCAGTCTTTTATTTTTTTTATTTTGTTCTATTTATTGATCACTTTTTGTTTGAATCTCTCAACATTTTACAACAGTAGCCAGGTGGTGAAGACAAGACAAAAGAAACTAAATTACAATGTCACTTGCAATCGCCACTTGCACTCTCCGATACCTGCGACGTCACTTGCAATCGACACAAATCGTGCGTGTTGCCAATGGAGACAAGACGCTGTGGTGGTGATTATTAAAACTAATTTTATACTATAACGTACAGGGTCCTGCAAGAAAAAGACAATACCCGCAAATCCGTGGCCACAGAACAGCAGAATATGAACGCAATGCAAAGTCTCTCGTTAAGCGTTTTCCTCCTGTAGAAAAACAAACACTTAACATGGCGTAATGTATTAAGATACATTAAGTTCAATTAAAAGATCAAATTCGATATATAGTTATTATTTAATGTACTACAAGGCAAGCAGATGGCCATGAACACAATGCATAAAAATTCACTTGTCCTCCCATACAGCTAAACGCTTAATGTGGCATAATAACGGACTATGATAAAGACAATACAGTAGCCTATATGTCTTGTTGTTGACTCAAAGTATATACAGACCAACAAATATGAACGTGCATTATGAAATGCATTAAGTGATTTTAAAAGGATCAACTCCGTACAGGCAAGCAGACGAGCCCAGAACGCAATGCGTTAAATTGCACGTTAAACATTTTCCTCCTATAGAAAATCATTATAAATAAAACACGTAATGTAGCTTAATGGACAAAGACAATGATACAAAATAAAAAATAAAGCCTGCAAGTGACGTCGCTAGCGGAAGCGCAAGTGTCTGAGAGTGCAAGTCTGAGAATGCAAGTCTGAGAGTGCAAGTGCGAGGCTGCAGCCAGACCCTTCTCCAATGTGGACTCATTGGCCAGACAGAGAGCTTTTAGCTTATCATTGATTTAAGTGTCTGAGAGAATTACTTCAGCAGAATCCCTTACAGAACCAATTAATACGCATGAATTGAGGTCTGTGGTATATTGATGAAGATATAACCAATGTGCGAGTATCTAACAATAAATTTGCTTCTGAATGAAGATTATTGAACAGGTTAAGTGAACATGTTTTAATAGGAGAGGGTGCATCACCTGTCCAGTGTGCGACATATCAAGCATATGAATTAGTTTCTAATGAAAAGAATTGATGACTCACGCCGCAGTAGTCGTCTCCATTGAAGATCTGAGGGGGGAGAGGATTGCCCTTTTCAGGTCGTTTCTCCTCAGGAATGTTCCGGTACATCCAGAGCCTCTGATCCTCCAGCATGGTGATGTCAACCTCCTCGAAGCTGATCCGGTTGGCCTCCAGAAAGCCCACGATGGCCTGCTGACGTTTCTTCACCTGAGGAATCACACAATGAAGTTCTTTGGTCAATAATCTGTGATAGATATTAAATGATCTGTGTTATCAAAGTTATTAAAGGCTACTCTCAAACTTATGTATTAACATTTATGAGTGTATGAGTAATTATTCATTCACAACTGAAAAGTGGTTGTGGTGTAATCGTAATGAAAAACTGCTGTTTGTGTCCCAAAAACCGTACTACTGAACTGTCACGTTATTTGTCACATCCATCTCTGTTGTGTCATGCAAAATACATGTTAATAATTTAAAATTAAATAGTTTGCATTTGTTTTTGCTTTCCAATTTATTACTTTAATGTTAACTATATATTAAAAAAATATATTTTATTGAGTATTTAATTGATATTTATAAAATATAAATTCTACTGTATGTAGTTGATTCTAAAATGCTTTATGAATTTTAACAGAATTGTAAAATAGTAAATACAGTATTGATTGGAAATAATATGTGGTGCAATGATATTAACTACTTAAAAGTGTTATTAACAAATTTTGGACTCATCAACCTTGTAATTGTCAGCCTTGAAACATTTTGAATTTAACAGTGCTGGCAAAAAAAGTAAAAGTATAAAGTATTAATATACTGTTATACATGTCTGTGTGCATTAGTGTCTATATGTCCTTTCTGAAAACACACAGATGGAAAGCACTCAGTGAAATTCCCATTAGTCAGATGTAGGAGGAGAGTATTGATCAGCAAAAAGGGATTTATTTGAAACCAAATGTAAAACACAAAGCTGTGACACCCCTAAAAAATTCCCTAAAACTTTATATAATATGATTATGCATTTAAAGCACATCAAATATAACACAGAAAACAATGAAAGACTTGAAAGATGTGTGTATATTTCATTGCGCTTTTGAGTGTCTATTTGTGTGGTCAAAAGGTTATTTAACATCTGTTCTATGTCTGGCGTCCTGTGTTTCTGAATCCTTCCCCATATTAACATTGAATAAACATTTTGTCCTTATCTTACACACTTGTCTGTCACCCTCTGCACTCAGCTCTCCATTGTACTGTTTAAAAACTCAATAGTTCCATTCCAGTGCAACAATGCCAAGTACATTTTCCAAAGAATAAACATGTCTTTCTTTAAATTCCTAGCACTTGTAGTTAATGAATGCATTAATAAATGGCACACAGAGATGAAAAGATTTCCAAAATGATAACATTCCTTTTAAAAACACCTTCCTCAAAAGAACAACACAGTAGAGTTAAAGGATAGTTCACCCAAAAATGAAAATTCTGTCATTAATTACTCATGTCGTTCCAAACCTGTAAGACCTTCATTCATCTTCGGAACACAAATTAAGATATTTTTGATGCATTCCGAGAGCTCTCTGACCCTCCCTAGACAGCAAGGATCCTTACACGATCAAGGCTCAGAAACATAGCAAGGAGATCGTTAAAATAGTCCATGTGACATTAGTGGTTCAACCGTAATTTTACGAAGCTATGAGAATACTTTTTGTGTGCAAAGAAAACAAAAGTAACGACTTTATTCAACTATTCGTCTCCTCCGCATCACCCTTTAGCTCCATTTTGGAGAGTATCACATACATAAACAACTAATGCTGTTCTGTGTCAGCAGCACTGTACGTGGATACGCTGTTTACGTTGTTACGCTTTGATCTGAACGTAAACAATGTATCCGCGTACATACGTTGTTTAAGTATGTGATACTCTCCAAAATGGCACTATAGGGTGACGCGGAGGAGACGAATTGTTGAATAAAGTCGTTATTTTTGTTTTCTTTGGGCACAAACAGTATTCTCGTAGCTTCGTAAAATTACGGTTGAACCACTGATGTCACATGGACTATTTTAACGATCTCCTTGCTACGTTTCTGAGCCTTGATCGTGTAAGGATCCTTGCTGTCTAGGGGAGGGTCAGAGAGCTCTCGGAATGCATCAAAAATATCTTAAAGGGGTCATATGATGTGATTTCAATTTTTCCTTTCTCTTTGGAGTGTTACAAGCTCTTGGTGCATAAAGAAGATCTGTAAAGTTGCAAAGACTAAAGTCTCAAATACAAAGAGATATTCTTTATAAAAGATAAGAGTCAGCCATGCCTACCTAAAACGGCTCGTTCTAACACGCCCCAACATACCTACGTCGCTCTGTGGGAAGATTTGCATAACGCAGCCCAAATGTTAACGCAAAGAAAGAAGGAGTAACTTTTATTCTCGCTGTAATATTGTTGCCGCCGCAGTGAAAAAGTGAAAAGTGACGTAACATTTCCGTCACACTCTTGAGGTATTCGGCCAATCACAACGCTCTGTATAGCTGGCCAATCACAGCACACCTCGCTTTTTCAGACCGATGAGCTTTGTAAAAATCGACGCGTTTCAGAAAGGCGGGGCATAGAGGAGAAACAATAATGTACAGTATGTGGAAAATAATGTGTTTTTTTAACCTTAAACCGCATAAACACATTTCATTACACCAAATACACAAAATACTGTTCTTTTTAGCAGCATCAAATGACCCCTTTAATTTGTGTTCTGAAGATGAACGAAGGTCTTACAGGTTTGGAACGACATGAGGGTGAGTAATGAATGACAGAATTTTAATTTTTGGGTGAACTATCCCTTTAACTGATGCTTCAGTTTTAACATTTAAAGAACTTTACCTTTCATTACATGAAAATATAATATTCTTTCTTTAGATATTCTCTCTAAATCACCTTTTGTGTTTAACAGAAGAATACAGATTTAACTAAAACTAAAACCATAAAGTCATTACTTGAAATAAAACAAACATAAACTTGAATAAATAAAAAAAACTTGTCTGCCCGCACCTAACTACAGAAAATGAGGCCTAGTTTCAACAGCTGTTTGAGAGGGCGTGACTTACAAAAACGCATACATCTACACACCCTAGTTTGGCAGTACTAAAGTGTGTTGTCCAGAGAGAGGTTTTGGACATATCCACATTGTGGAGGAGGACAGATGGAGTACAAAAAGTCCCCTGCCTCACCTCACCTCGCCTTGCCTATCTTTGTCTCTCTCTCTCCCTCTCTCTGCTGACTTAGCAGAGCGTGTTGCTGGGCGGCCACTGCATGCAGAGCTGTTTAGATGAATTCTGTCACTAAACACACACATACACACACCCGTGCACACAGAAAGCACAAGTGAATACAGACTGATACTCAGTGATGCGTTGATGAGTGAATCACATCTCTCTCTCACACACATATGCGCATGTTTGACTGCAAGAAAGAGAGTGAGATTCTTTGTAAAGGTAGAGCAGCTCTCCATTAAACATTAAAGGAACACTCCACTATTTTTGAAAATAGGCTCATTTTCCAACTCCCCTAGAGTTAAACAGTTGAGTTTTACCGTTTTCGAATCCATTCAGCCGATCTCCGGGTCTGGCGGTAGCACTTTTAGCTGTAGCTTAGCATAGATCATTGAATCTGATTAGACCGTTAGCATCTCGCTCAAAAAAGACCAAAGAGTTTCTATATTTTTCCTACTTAAAACTTGACTCTTCTGTAGTTACAAGTGTACTAAGACTGACGGAAAATGAAAAGTTGCGATTTTCTAGGCCGATATGGCTAGGAACTATACTCTCATTCCGGGTGCAGCAGGCGCAATGATATTACGCAGCGCCTGAAAATAGTCCCCAGCACGCTCCCTGTGCAAGCAGGTGGTCACGTTGGTTATGTTGACGGAAGTTAGCCTATTTTCAGGCGCTGTGTAAGCTGCTGTACCATGGGTGCAGCAGGCGCAATGATATTACGCAGTGCCTGAAAATAGTCCCAAAATCACAACTTTTCATTTTCGGTCGGTCTTAGTACACAATGTAACTACAAAAGAGTCAAGTTTTAAATAGGAAAAATATAGAAACTCTTTGGTCATTTTTGTCTTTTTTAGTGACTCATTTCTTAATTCAACCGATTCGTTCAATAATTTGTTCAGGAAGGAAAACCAGCATTCACCTGTCTTTGTGTGCGAGTTGTTGAATCAATCGTTCAACCGATTCGTTCAAAAACGCGGATTCATTCATTCATTAAGGAATAAAATGTCACTACTGTGTGAGATGCACAGCGATTCTGTTGATGTTTTGTTTACTTAAAAAACTGTTTATACTTAAGTTACTCCGTATTAAATTCTGTTTTATTGAATTGTTGTATAAAAGCAATATTATAATTGTGCTGTTATTTCTAATATACCATGCTGCCTCCTGACTAATAAGGCATATTCAAAGCTATTCTGATATATTTGGATATACAGCACTTTTGTTCGACTGATGTTCCGTTTTCAAACACACACAAACACACACACACACACACAAACTGCATACAATTTAAATTATCATTCAAATGTATAGCCTATTGATTAATGATTAATTTATTCTGAGAGCAAAAGTGTCCAATCAGTGTTATTTTAGTATTAGTATATGTCATTCATTCATGCTTTGAATTACCTTTTTTTCTTTTTAATTTTAATTTAAGTTTTAGTAATTTTGTTATGTGTTTTTGTTATGTGTATCAGTTTATTTTTTAATATTTCTATTTAGCTTTAGTTTTATTTCAGTTTTAGTTTTAGTAATTTAGCATTTAAACCACTGATCTATAATAGAGAATCTAGTCATTATATAGATCAGTGACCTAAACCAGTGGCTTCAACTTAAACTTGTTTATTACCGTTAGTTGTCAAGGCAACATTACAAATGGTTAATTTTTTAAGTTTAAATTTTCATTTAATTTTTATATTTTATTTTATTTCAGCTTTAACAAAAATTAATTTAATAGATTTAGTTAACAATAAAAACACTAATATCTAATTACAGGATAGTTTACAGAGGTATAACAGTATTTGGTTGGTCATGTGATTATGAGGCAACCTGCTACATTTAAATTACATTTATTAGGCTACTGATATGACTTGGTTTTGAACGTACATCCTTTTTAACTTTTTCTAAAAAAAATTTTAAAACATTTTTTTACTACATAGAATTTTTGCATGTGTAAAACTTTCGATTAAATGATGAAGTGGGCTTTTAAAGAAAGACAAATCCCATGAGTGTGTGTCATCCTGTTTTGAATCAATGAGCTGAATGCACCCTTACCACTCAGACTTTCTTAACACACTTACTGAGCCTATATCACTCCAGCCTATGTCTCTCCACTAAGCTCAGCTGACTGAAAATCACTCAGTGAGCGCTAGTCTCAGTCTTTCACATGTATGTGTAAAGTGCAACGGTTGGAGGTGGATGAGTGTAACGAGTGGAAAAGGTTAGTCAGGGTATGACCTTTATAATCCCCCTCTGACCAAAGCTTGAGAGCTAATGTGAATCAACGTGTGTTTGTGTAGATGTAAGTTAAAATATTAACCCTCACTCATTTGATTCTAAAATCGGCCGCCTTTTAGTACAGATTGTTTTCATCAGCCATCACTTGCTTCACATCCTTGACAAAAAACAAGTTATATAACAAACACATATGTAAACAGTGAACACACACACACAGTAAGTCTGTCCATCCGTGCCAGTTATTAAGTGAAACATTTTCTAATGATTATTTTGTCAGCAAGAATGTCAGCATAAAAGAGATGTTTGCCTATTTATGAGAGCAGTGTGTGCTGAGGCCACGGAGACTTCAAAATAGCTCTTTCTGGGTAAACAATCCGGGTCTTGTAGAAATAAGGAGATAGCGGAAATCGGTGCATAACTCAGGCTATTACTTCATTCTGGTACTATTAGGTTACAATGCTGAACGTGTACTTGCCTCTCTAACATCCAAATACACATGCTTCATCTCCATATCAAAGCTGTCAAATACACAGTGAGTCACTGTACAAAAACATCATCTGATAACCATCAAACACCAAATGAATGACATCACAGGAAAATATGAATACAGTCGCCCCTCCCTTCCCCCAGTCTCTGTTCAGAGACTGTGATCTCCTCTAGTGGTCGACCGATATATCGCCAAGGCCGATATATCGGCCGATATTTGGAATTTTCAAATATCGGCATCGGCCGATAAGTTTTTCTGTTTGGCTGATGCGTTCGTGGTGGGACTTTTATTTTGATGGGGCGCCGGAATTTTATTTTTATGGCGCTGAGAACAGCAGCGCCTGAACACACAGTGCTCACATTCTCCCTCTTGTTCGCTCGCTGTCGCCGTTAACAGTTCTGTCCACGGACAGAAGTCTGTCTAATAATCAGATAGAACTGTTAAACAAAGGAATTAAAATGTATACAAAAAAGTATTATAACGATTGCTTTTATATTGTTAGTAATAGAAAGGCAAACATTATAATACTTTCTCGTTTGCCGTCAGCATTCAGCAAATACGCATTTAACGTTATATAATTTAAACAAATGTTTGAATGACTAATCTAATTTCAGAAACCTTGCAAACTTAGTCGAATCCAGTTGTGAGATCTTATGAAGTGTGCATTTGTATCCTGCACGGTCGGTCCGTGTGAATTGAATGCGGACAGGAGGAGAGTTCAGCTTCACTGGAGATGCGCGA